TCATAAGGTATCAAATCTCTAGTTAACTATAGTTATGTAATTGCTCTTAATCCTGAGTTTATTATAAATAGGTAATCAAATAGTTTTCATTCTTTGATTTACCAACGGGTGAGGTTCGATCTATTGACGGCCAATAACTCGGTATTTTGGGAGTGAGATTATTTGATTATCGGTATTTATGAGATAAACAACATGGAATTTGTAGGATATGTCCCCTTGATATGTTTCGGTACTTGGATATTAAAGACACTGGCCAGTGCATGTAATCTATTAGAGAAACTATCATAGTCAATGGAATAAATAATTGATTGAGTTACAGAAAACTTGTCAATCAATTATAGACATTCTACAAAGGGGCGATGCATATTCATGTTATAAGTGTTCTTAATCTTGGAGTTCAAGTTCGGGCTTTTAGTGGAGTAGCACCGAATTAGATAATCATTCGTTGATTATCAGGAGCATTGATTAATAACATATGGTAGATCCCCAAGCTAGCTTGAGACAAGGGATGTGGTATTTTTCGGATAGATGATGAATTATGGGTTACATGATCTTGGGTTTTACGACTCAAGTTTGTATCCAAAAGAGCAAGTGGGAGATTGTTGGGTTTGCTCTTTTACTAAAGCCCAAATGGGTTATTAGTATGAGAAGAGCCCAAGGAACCTAGAGCCCAATGAGCTAGGGTTTCTTGAAACCCATATAAATAGTACCTCTTAAGTCATCAGCCTCCAAGGTCTTTTTTGTGAGAAAGAGGCAAGCTCATAATCTAATCAGTGCCCACACACTTCCCCTTCCTCCTCGAGAGATAGTTTGGAAGATCTGCCACAGTCCAGCTTCAAGGAGGTTGTTCGTGCTGCGGCGCTGAGGTGAGCTGTTCGTGAAAGGGAATCCTACAAGGGAAAATTCTACACGAGACCTGCGCACCGAGAGGTAATTGTGAAACAAGGATGATTCGGTAAGCATACCAATGTACTAGGTCCTAAACTGCTTCCGCATAAATCTAAGATTTCCTACACTTCCTCCTCCGTCGTAGCATCTCTCGCCTCCTTGCCGGTTTCTCTCTCTTCACTCATCTCTTGTTCTTTCTTTTCTTTTTTTATTTAATGGTTATCTTTATCTCACTTTCAATATTTTCTTTCTCTTTTTTTTTTTGGTATAAACTTTCTCTTATCTTTTATTTTTATTAATTTGTCTATAAACAATTGAAATCATCTGACGTAAGAACATAATTCCCAACAAACATATATACTATCATTTGATTTCAATACTAACTTTCTCATCATAAAATATTTTTTAATTTCATTTATTTTTGGGTGAATGAGATATATCCCCATTCAACCACCTCTAATTACCTTATCCTTAGACTTGTTTGGTGTGACGTATAAAGTTTAATAGTATAAGCTTATACTATACATTGTGATATTTTTATTTATTTGATGTGATTATCATGTAGTATAAACTTATATAGAATAATCCCTCAATATATTAAAATGATGTATAACTTAAGAAAAAACTTATCCAATGTTACTTTAGATAACTTTATCTAATGTTCACCGAAACAATCGTTTTAGGGTTGAAAGATTAAAAAATTAGAATGATAAAGATTATAATAACCCTAAAATAAATTAAAATTACAAACATCCATTAATTTCCTCCACAAAACAACGTTATTTCGGTTAGGGGTGTTAACAGACCGAGTTTAAGCCTTAAAAGGCTAAGCATGTGTTTAAATGTGTCAACCTAATCAAGTCACTTACCTGTTATGAATCGACCTGTGGCCTGACATATTTACAAAAAATGAAAGCCTGATTTAGCTTGTTAGCGTGTTTAAAAAGAATAAAATAACAGAAATTTGTCCAAACAGAATATACAATCAACAACACTAGTAATTCCATAAATTTTCATAAATTCAATGTATATCCAAATAGCATAATATAGAACAAAATCATTTAAAAAGTTTGTTTAACCAATAAAATGAGGTGAAGTGGATTGAGGAGAGAGGGAGGACTATTACAAGTAGTATAAAAAATATAAAATAAAAATAAAAATTAATATACTAGGCCAGCCTGAAAGATTTTAAGGCCGAACTTTTGAATTCAAGTCTGAAGCCTTTTTATTAAACGAGCTTTTATACAAGTCAAAGTCTGGTTTCAATAACCAATTTTAGGCATGTAAGCTCAGACGTTTATGAGCCGAGCCAAAGACCCCTGGTTCGATTATCACCCTTAGTTTCGATGAACATTAGAAAAAGTTATCTAAAGTAACATTAGAAAAAGCAAACCCATAACTTAATCAGGCCTAAGGCGGTGGTGAGACTAGGCTTGATAAAGAGTTGATATATATATATATATATATTTTTTTTTTGATAACAAAAAGAGTTGATATATTAACATCGCTGACCAGTGCAATTCTCAAAAATTAATTTATTATTTTAATATTAGTATATTAAAATAAAATTAATTTTTCAATATATTAATTTTTAAAATATTATGAATTTATATTTTTACAAAAAAATAATATATTTTTTTGACACTGATTTATAATTTTTTATAAAAATTAATATCATATAACATATTTGAAATAATTATATAAATTCCTTATTAAAGAGTATTTTTATTAAAATTATTTATTTTTATTCTATTTAGTATTATACAATATATTACTAAATATTGGATAATATTATTTTATATAATATTATGTGAAATACTGAACGGTATTAAAATTTAATCAAATCTTATATTATTAGCGCTTATAAATATTCCTAGATTTAGACTAAACCTCTCCCCAGATTTAGAGCTCAAAGGTTTTCGTCTAACACCAAAGAATTTTTCTAATTTTAGTTTTACGAGAACTTGAATAGAAAGTGATTTTTCCCTTGCCTTGTCAGTGGTGGTTTAATTGGGATGAGGATGACAAGGATGATACAAGGATTTTAACCAAATTACTCAATTCCAGTGTCATTAATAACTTTGTTAAGCCATAAATGTCTTCCATTCATCTTCGTTACCATCACTCCATCAGTCATCACGCAATGCTTATATTAACTTATTCTCAATTTATAAAATGAATATCAAATGTCTTTGTACCTTTCGTCTTCCATCTTTACTTTCACAACACGTCAAGTACAATATTCTTTTACAGCTCTATGTCGTTTATTATTCCTCCTCAGTGTACTCAGCAGCGGCTTAAGCGACCGTTTGTATGAGTTTTTATTTTCTCTAATTTTTTTTTTTAACTTCTAAAATAAAATTTGTTTTTGTATGCCTATTTTTAAAAAAGCAGAAATCATAAAAAAGTCAAAAGTTTATTTTTTTTAGAAGTTAAAAATGTTAGTTTTTTTAAAAAATAAAAGTCAAAAGCTATTTTTTTTTAAATCAAATATTTTTTTTAAAATTTTAAATAACTTATATTTTTTATAAAACTATTTTTAAAATAAGCGAAACATAATTTTTTTTTTTGAGAGGTCCATCCAAACCGACTCTAGGTATAAGGGTCTGTTTGGATGAGCTTTTTTTTCTTCAAAAGCTGCTTTTTTTTAAGAAAAAAAGCACTTTTTGTTTTTAGTTCATTTGGATGTCTCCTTTTAAAAAAAGGAAAAGTCACAAAAAAAGCCAAAAATCTACTTTTCTCAGAAGCTAAAATTTTTAACTTCTCAGAAAAGCAGAAGTCAAAAGCCAAATAATTTTTTCAAAAACTAAATATTTTTATAAAAATATAAATAGCTTTAACTTTTATAAAAAGTATTTTTAAAATAAAAAAGTGGTAAAAGTTACTTTTGAAAAAAGCTTAACCAAACGACCACTAAGAAAGCCAGCGTAGCTATTCTCAAATTCTAAAACTTAAATATTCAAGATCATCATTAAAAATTAAGTTCGTTCCAATTATTATATTTCTTAAATGGGGGAAGTTATACTTACTACTTTTTTTCTTACTATCTCTTACTACTAAATCTTAATCGTTAATTTTCGTCAATCTAACAATTGTAGTTTATTGGGTTGTACTTATTAATTCTTAACAAATTATATTTGTTAGGTTAGCGAAAATCAATGATTAAAATTTGATAGTAAAAGATAGTTAGAAAAAAGAGATAATAACTATAATCTTTTCCTTCTTAAATATTATATGTTTCCATAAAGAGTCTAAAATATTGATGTGTGTTTGGTTCGTGTAGATCCCAAATATTTATCATATAGGTATATGTTCAAATATATCAATAAAAGAGATATCGTATTGGTTCAAGACTAATGTATCAAATATTACGCACGTATAGCCAAGGTGTGTGTACAGTATTAAATAACAACAATAGAGAATAAGTTCGGAGGTATATATCTAAGAAGCTTTTACTCTTTATTTACAGGAGAGGTTTTCTATAGGTGTAGACTCATAATAAAAGTATGATTTCTTGGAATAAGATAATTGAATTATCTATTAAGATATGGATCAAGACGTAAAATTTAAATTGTTAACATAACTTCAAAATAATTTAATATGAATTAAGAACAACCCGATTTTAAAACAACACCGTATCGCTTATTAGATGAGCTAGTACAACACAATAAATAAATAAAGAGAAAAATACGTATCATTTTAAACGACATATTTTATATTTTTTCACTTTCACAAAAAATGATTCACACCTTTAAAACTTTTCACATCTATTCTTTCTCTCATGATTTATTTTTTTTCTCACTTAAAATAACATGATTTTGTATCCTTTAAAATAATACACATTTTTTCATAAATAAAACATAAAAGGTTGACAATGACAAAAAGAATATGCACAAAAATTAATACGGGTCAATTTTATACAACACAAAATTTTGCCACATGTAGTCGCATTAATATTTTTATTAAAAAAGAAGAAGAAAAGACTCAACTTCACCTAAAAATTAACTTGCTTACAATTTTAGATAAGAAATTACTTTGCGTTATTTTCTTCTTCTTTTTTTTTTTTTTTTTTTTTTTTTTTGAGAATATAGTGATTTGAGAGAAAGAAGTCATTCGTCGTCAAAATATATATATCGATATTTGTGAAAATTGTAAAAGAACTGTATGCATCGATGGCGGGGGTTTCTCTCAAGTGCGGTGACTGTGGTGCTCTGTTGAGGTCGGTTGAAGAAGCTCAAGAACACGCTGAGCTCACCTCACACTCCAACTTCTCCGAATCCACTGAACCCGTTCTCAACCTCGTTTGCACCGTTTGCGCCAAACCTTGCCGATCCAAAACCGTTAGTTCAGATCCCAATTCTCCTTTCACATATATCCCAATTATCGATTATCTTCCTGTCATTTTTAGTTATTTTAGGGTTTATTTTGTTTGAGAATCGGAAAATTACTGTTTTTGTTATTTGTTTTATGTAATTGCTGAATCTGTTACTCTTTGATCGTGTAGGAGAGTGATTTGCACACGAAAAGAACCGGGCACACTGAATTTGTTGATAAGACTTCGGAGGCAGCAAAGCCAATAAGTTTAGAGGTTCCAAAGGTTGATGATGCTACTTCAGAAGAGCCTCTCGGTGCAACCACTGACCAAAATGAAGGTAATGTTTAATTAAGATGTAATATTCCTTATCTCAGATATTATCATCTTATTCTTGAAAAAGCTGTTTATGACATCCGACATTTAGTGATTAGTTTTTAATTTCTATTTTTGCATACAGAAATGGTTGTTCCAGAAGTTGACAAAAAGCTACTCGAGGAACTTGAATCAATGGGTTTTTCAACAGCACGAGCGACGCGGGCACTTCATTTTTCTGGTGAATTTAAATGCAAATCTGTTCTTTTAACCTTAGTTATATAATATTATTGACGGGTTCACTTGTAATATTCTCTCAATTCTGTCTTTTTTTTTTCTGTCTCATGTGAGAATACCAGTACAGGTTCATGTAATTTAATTGGATCAAGTGGAAGATATTCCAACTAAAAGGGGTTGAGAAAGACCCGGATTAACTTTACCTTACCCAAAATTATTGTATTGAAAAATTGGTTTTTTGATAGTGCCTAGTGAGTAGTGACATCGATTGATAGGATTAGCTGATTCCACCTAGTGGGGTAAGGCTTGATTGCTATTGTTACTTTTTATTTTTTACGCCTGCCTGAAAAAATATTGGGGTACATGTAATAAGCAGTTAATTCATAGAGTATTTTCTATACATTATTTTTGTTATATATATCTGGACATTGATAATTATTGACTCTCTAGATATTAATCATGGGCCTCTCTCTTCTACAGGTAATGCTGGCCTTGAGGCTGCTGTAAATTGGATAGTAGAGCATGAGAATGACCCTGATATAGATCAGATGCCCATGGTACAATATATTTATTTTTAGGAATCAATTATACTTGCCACCGTTTTTTCTTACCACCTCTTACAATCAATCTTGTTATTGTTGGATTAAAATCAAATCAGTGATGCCATTTTTTAACCATTGATTTGATTTTGATCCAACGATAACAAGATTGGTTATAAGTGGTGATAAGAAAAAAAGGTGGTAAGTATAACCTCCCCCTTATTTTTAATATAGTTTATTGTCAATGTGTGCTCTTGTTTCATAAGTTATAGATTTCGATGTTGCAAACTTCAACAGAAATAAAGCTAGTTCATGTTATGAATAAATATCAAAATGTATTCAGTGTAATTAAGTTGCAATTGCTAGCTTCTGACCTGATGGTTATCTCAGGTACCCGCCAACACCAAAGTCGAGGCTCCTAAACCTTCTCTTACCCCAGAAGAACTGAAGGCCAAACAACAGGAACTAAGGTATGAAATGAAACTGAATGTTAGATAAGATTTACATTATGGGCCAAGTTATGAAGCTACTTTAGAGTTTAAATATTCTTCTGGCATAGGACTAGGGAATCATTTTAAATATGTATTTGTTGAAGTAATTTGTTATGACCCATGATAATCCCTTATTTGCTTTCACCTGACGTAAAAAAGAGCAATTAAAGTTGAGGTATTCTGGTAATTTCTTAAGTAGCTTAGGCTGATGCAGCAAACACCTGATATCAATGTCTACTGCAACATGATTTATAGGTAGTCTTGAAGTTGTTAGTTATTAGAAATTTGTCTGCAGATTTCAGTGTCCTCTATCATTGCTTGTGGGTTAAATATATGTCATTAATTTACAACAGTATTAATGTGGCTAAATTGGTGTCTATGTATCCTGTTCTGGGTATTCTGGACTTCTGTTCAGTTGATATTATCATATTTGGATTTTTTTATATCCTGTAGTTTAACACATGCTTGTATATCTTGTGTCTGGAACTATAATTAACATGTAGTTAAGCCAAATTTTTATTACTGGCATATCTGTAATCTGTGTAATCATTTAATTTTTTAAACTATAATCTGAAGGGAGAAGGCTCGCAAGAAGAAAGAAGAGGAAGAGAAGAGAATGGAGAGAGAAAGAGAAAAGGTGTTTTGAAGATTCATCCATTTGCTTCTCACTTATTTCTTTGACTTTCATTACTTATATACATGGGTATTTGAAATTTTTACACTTTAGGAATTTGGGTTTGTGCATGGACACACATTGTTAGAGATATAAATCAACCAATCACGAGCCTCCATCTAAGAGCATAAGTTTTGGGAGATTTGGTCCTTGATATGGTATAAGAGTCTCTATGACCAATTGGTCAAGGGTTTGATGCTTGTTGCCTCCGTTCTCCTAAATAAAAAAAGTTGAATTTTAACACAAGATGGAGTGGGCCTATGCATTATTCACACTGCAAGCCCAAATGGCTCATTTAATGGTGTGTGTTAGAGATGTAAAACCATTTATGAGCCTCCACCTTAGAACTTAAGGAGAGTTGGTTATTGACACATTTGATGTAGTATTGCTTCACAAATGTAGATTGTCATTAATATTTTTTTTTGGTTATAATATCAAAGTCTATAGCAAATGAACGCCTGTTCTTGTCATGTATGGTAAAGTTTAGGTTGATAAAAAATAATTGATTACCGCATCTGTATATCAATAAATTCTTGAATTAAGCTTACATTACTGAATGTCAAAAATATTGTTTTCTAGACTGTAAGTAGTATCTTTGGAATTGTCTCATTGTTTTGTACACAAAGTAAGCTGTTCAAGGGTTTTGGTAGTAGTTATATGGCCCATTTGTTTTAGATTTGGGAGAGGATCAAATGTGTGCTTGCACAGAAAGCGAGACAATTTTGGAAGAATTTTCTTTTATTTCCTTTTCCTTGACACCAGTTAGTGTTGGGAGAATTTAATACAAACAGGCTGATAATTTTATTAAGAGGTATAAGGTCTGTGTTTTGCAACAGAACTATTCAGAGAAGTTTAAGTGAATCTATTTTCTATTCCCCTCTATTTCTAACATCCTTTTGCTATTATCTTCTTCCCATCCCCTTGACACAGACCAAAAAGTTCTTTATAAACTAATTTTTGGGTGAATCAATCAAAGTCCAATTTTAACTCATTGTGCTCATTTGGTATTAATAAGTTCCCATTGTGTGTCTTTGAAAGTTTCATGTATTGATTGGTTCTAACCAAGTAGTTTAATAAGTATTTTGCTGTTAAAGACAAAGCATTAGAGTTGTATTCTTAGAAGCAGATAGATTTTCGGAGATATATGGAGGCTTTAAGTATCTCCAAAGAATATTGTGAAATTAAGCTAATTGAACTCAACATAAGAAAAAGTAGAGACAATGCTTGAAGGCAGTCAAACTTTCTCGGAAAATATTCTAAAAGGTACAAAGGCCTCGCCAATAAATCAATTCTGCTGTAAATTGGCTTCAAATGCTATTGGACTTCTTTTCATTCTGATTTTGAAGCACCTATACAGTATAATTACTCCTACGTCATGCATAAGGCTTTAGCTCCTTAAAAAATATATAAGATCATTTTATCATTGTATGAATTTCAAGCTTCCATGTATCTGTGTTGTTCATGCAAAAGTAGCAGGTATCTATTCAGTTATTTGCTTGAAAAATTTATGGGTTAATTTACGTTATATAAATGTTCTGAGGTTGGACCAGTATATAAAGTTGTAGCACAGCATTTCTAGATACATTTGTCCATATTTGTTAAGTAGTTTACATCATCTTCGTTTTCTTGTCTCTAATAAACGTTTGTATTCAGGAGAGAATTCGCATTGGCAAGGAGTTGCTGGAAGCAAAGAGAATTGAAGAAGATAATGAGCGAAAACGGTCTGCTCACTAATAGGAATGATAGGAAAATATTCCTATCACTCACCTAGTAAATTTATTGTCTCACATCTTGTGTTTTGTTAATCTGCTCCCTTTGCAGGTTGTTGGCTCTGAGAAAAGCAGAGAAAGAGGAAGAGAAAAGGGCTAGAGAGAAAATCAAGCAAAAGTTGGAAGAAGACAAGGTTTGACATTTTCTAACCATGTTATTCTTTCTCCTATTCTTTCTTCAAGCCTGTTCTTATTTGAGTTTGTGAATAATCTTTCTCAATTCTTCATATAGATTGTCAGATGACTATCAAGTCACTGTCAATTGTCCAATTTTCATGTAATTTTCTTCTCTTTGTCTTATGAATTTCTTCTTTTATATAATGAAGAAAAGATTGTTTTCATGGCTCTGTGTAGCTTCCGCACATGGCTTTTTTAGATGGGTAGAGGGTCCAAAGAGCTCTCTGCTTTTTAAGTCTTTGTTTGGATTTGCTGTGCCTATGTTAATATCTTATTCTTCCTTTGTACTTGATCTCTCTTTTCTTTCTAATATTACAATTTTTATAATTATTTCTATTGTTAATGAAATTTCCAAATTTTCCTTTTAACTTATATAATTATTAATTGTGGGAATATGATTGCCAAGAGATTTATTTATTTCATGTATAGACCATGGACACAAGCAACTCTGTCGTGGTGTTGGGGGCAAGGATTCCATCTACTTATATTTGTTAAGCATATGGATAAATACTACTTTATATATTTTATTAATTTTTCGGATAAAACAAGAAATTAAGAGAAAAAATTACAAAGGGCAGGGAGGATAAGGAATCCTTCTTAATTAAAGAACAAAACAGAAAACAACTGGAAAAAAGAGAAAATCAGGGGTGCAAAGCTGCCCAATCCCTCAACATACCTGTTAGGGAAACGGGAAGCCACATTAAAATTGCCATATGCTTCCTTCCAAATAGGAGCCAAACGCCTGCTGTTGTCCTAAATGAAGTGCTATACAATGGAAGCCTCCTTAAATGTATGAGAGTTATGCTTCTACTCACAAATCAAGTGTTCCTCATATGGATTAATCCTACTTTGAAGAAGTTTTGTGAAAATGCTAAGTTCTATTCCTAATTTTTTTTTTTTTTTGATGAAAGCATTGAATGATTTGAGCAATGCAAGTAATTTCAGACTCAAACTGCAGAACAAAATGTTTGGGGTTAATTTGAAGATAAAGTTGCTATTGTGTTTAATGAAAGTTTCCTCCATGCACACTTCCATAAATGCTATAGATGGAGAAGCCCGTTCAGAAAATTTGACAGTTCACCTTTTGTTATTGATGATCAAATTAAATAAGGTGGGCTGGAAGGAGGGGTGCTTGTTCATCGTGAACAATATTTTTACTTTTTTTTGGCAAAGAAAAGAAATTTTGGATCCTCTACTATTGCTTTTTTTGTTGCAGCAGGAGCTTTAGAGGACTTAAGTCCAAGTTTTTAGGAAGACTTCAGTATTACTTTGAACCTTTTCTTTCCAAAGATGGCATGGCAAATTTAATATGTTATTGGGGGATTTGAATGAAGTCACTTTGTTTCTCTATTATGACAGGCAGAAAGAAGGCGAAAACTTGGATTGCCTCCAGAGGAGCCTTCAGTAGCCAAACCTTCAACTGTTGTAGAGGAGAAAAAGGTATGAGCTTGTCCAAAAGTGATGGTGGTTTTATTTTTTTTTCCAGGTACCTATTTATTTGAAAATTTGAAATTTCTGTGTGCAGAGTTTTCTGCCAGTTAGGCCTGCAACAAAAGCTGAGCAAATGAGAGAGTGCTTGCGTTCTCTCAAGCAGAACCACAAGGTACACTCATATCTCACTTATGGAGAATTTGTGGTACCTCTGTGTAGTTAACACTTAACAGTATTAGTAATTGTTGGATAGTTGTTGAACTAATATCCATGGAAAATCCAAGGGTGAATAGTTTTGGAGGTACCACATAAACCCCCATCACTCAAATAAGACATTTCTTTTGCAAATTATATAGAGCTTGACATCCAAGAAAATATAGATGTGACCCCTGAATCTTTCAATTTGGATTCTTACTGTAATTGTATAGCGTATTTTGTGTTCATGACACGAAGCTGCCTTCCAACCAAGGCTTTTAAAAGAATGTTTGTTTGTTATATGCTTAAATGTTTTTGGAATTTGGATAGATGCCAGAGTAAATGTTCATCTGGAGATGTGCTGTTAATGAATCAGTGCACTTTAATAACAACATCATTAATGAATCCAATGGTGAAGATATATCTCAAACTTCTTTTAGTCTCATGTATTATCTTTATTCTTTTCGAAAGGGTAGTAGTAAATATTTGTAGAGTGATCTGTTCAGCAGAAGTTTGGTTATCTTCTTTTAGATAGTGCCAAAGATGTGGATATATTTATAGATATAATTGCCATGATCATAATTGACTAATGGCGTTAAAAGGGAAGAACTTAATTGCTGGATTGCTGTGGTTCATTGTTTCAAAAATATTAATGCTGCAACTTAATGCCTTTGCAACCAGAGTGTTCCAATGTATTATACATGGGGCAGATCCTTTGATTTTGTTGACATCAAATCTTAACTATTGATTTCGTGAATCTAACAGTTATAATTTATTGGGTCACACTTATTAATTAATTATTAATTCTCAATAAATTATAATTGTTAGATTGACGGAAATCAACAATTAAGATTTGGTGTCAAAGGATCCTGTCTCATTATATATATATATGGGAAAAGTATTTCTCTAGTTACTGAAGATAAAGTTATCTCCAGTGAGCTCAAAACGACGTCATTTTAGGATTATAAGATTAAAAAATTATAATGATAAAGACTAATATAACTTTGCAATATATTAGAATTACAAAAACACCTTGATTTCTGCCCCAAAATGATGTTGTTTTGGGCTCATTGGAGATAACTTATCTCCATTGATTGGAGAAATCCTTTACCCTATATATATATAGAGGTACTGATACTTAAAATGTAAACATCCATTTTGGTTTTCCAAAGATATTTCACTTCGGTTCTTCAATAGTAATTAATGCCATCAATGTCATTCTTCGGGGACCAATTTGATGTCATTTTAAGGACCAGTTTGATGGTAAAAGTATGTGATATTGAAGGACCAATGGAAGATCGAAGATCGATATGATTTTGCATGTCTTTGATGGATCAAAATGTATATTTATTCTTAAAAACAATCATAAACTGCCTGATATAATTTCAATTATTTTCATTTTGCTGCTAGTGCTTGTATTTTAATCATTTTGTGTGGCCACAGAAGTATACCATGTGTCTTGTAATGTGGAAAAATGAGGTCATTTCTTTATATATAGTGATAATATTATCAACTGCATTATACATTCTGCTAAATGAGGTCTTTTTTTTGATTGCTTACTGCACAGTAATACTTCTCAAGTATTGTTAGTTAAATAGCGCATTATGCTTAAATATTGTTAAACCTTAGCCCATTTGCATGTTTTCTTATTCTTGGAGCAGGAGGATGATGCCAAAGTAAAGAGAGCATTCCAAACTCTTCTAACTTATGTGGGAAATGTTGTCAGAAATCCTGAGGAGGAGAAATTCAGGAAGATTCGGCTTACTAACCAATCTTTTCAGGTAAGAAACTCTGTAAAGATGGTGTGTTTGGTGTCTTGAAGGAAATTCAGTACATGCTACTAATTCCCAGGGAGAAAAAGGAAAAAACAAAAGAGCAGCTTGCTAAACCAAAAAATTAAAAAATCAATCAAACCAAAACTCTAAATTTTGGGATGAGCACTGTAGAAGAGGTTGGTACCTTAGAGTCAGAACAATTGTTGGTCTTGGTTGAGTTTTGAGTTCTGCATGCACCACATACACCTAAAATTTGAACAATACCTGGGCTTCAGTTCAGGAGTTTTTGGATAGGTCCAGTTTTTACAAATTTTAGTAATGTTCAATTGTATATAATATTTTTCTTATCTAAAACTAACTTGGGTATGACGTTCCCGTATGCTTATCAATATTTACGTACATCCAATATGATCATTGTGTTAAACAGGAAAGAGTTGGTGCTTTGAATGGGGGCATTGAATTCCTGGAAATTTGCGGGTTTGAGAAGATCGATGGTGGTGAGTTTTTGTTTTTGCCAAGGGATAAGGTTGAGATTGCAGTCCTGAATTCAGCTGGATCTGAACTAGACTCTGCAATAAAGAATCCCTTTTTTGGAGTTCTTTAGTAGAGACAATTGTTAAGAGGCTTGACAATTTTAGTTTGATGTTTCAAGGTCAATTGCTACCATTTGTTCATTAGACCGACTTTGTTATTTTACTCAGCTCGAAGTTATTTATCCAGAGAATTATGCTTGTGCTATATAAGTTTTAGATTTATATAAAGCTGTTTCATGACTTGAGAAATTTTTATCTACTGCATCTCCGCATGCTTGGGATGCCTGAAGCATTTTAAGTAAAATCTAGAATGTCAAACTTAAATAAAGGGTTTCCATTCTATCATTTAACATCACAAAAAGTTTTCTAAAAAACTCTGGCACGCAAAACGAATTTTTATAACATAATACAATCATTTTTCCTACAACATAACTTTTATAAAACTCTTAAATAAATTAATAATTCTTTCTTTGAATTTTATGAAAGTTTATTACTTTTTTGTCCCTTTTAGGTTGATTTTGATCCTTTATAATAAGAGAAAAATGTTTATCCTTTTAAATGACATAACTTATATCATTTTACTCTCACAAAGAGGTGGGATTCACACCTTTATTTTTTTGTCAACTCTCTCTCTTCCTTTATCTATCTCTCTTAAAATAACATAATTTTACATCCTTTAAAATGACACATACTTTTCCCTTATAATAACGGTCCTATCTTTTCTTCAAGTAACAAAAATGTTACCCTCAGTTTTCAAATTAATGCAATAGGTTTTGGCTTGTGACACTTCTTTTAGGGGAAAAAAATAACTTATGTAAAAATGGTAATGAAATTTTATAATAAATCCACTGTTATAATTCTTATCATATGATTTAGAAGGCCGTTTCTCATTATTATATATCCTCAAGTCAACATTATTTCATCAAAAACTTTTTGTAAGATAAAATTTTCAATAAATTTATAGATATAGGCCATACAATGTACGATATGTTAATAAAAATTGAGATTAATATTTCTTTTGTTATATATAAGATAATTTTATCTTTTACGTATAAATAAAAAGTGTATGGGGCACATGGGGCACATGCAGAGTTATGATAAGAGTAGAGAAAAAAAAAATGAGTTTTATATATTTGACCATATAAAAGGAAAAGAAAGAAAAATAAAATACAGGTCTCATATATTTTTATGTGTATATAAGATAAAATTATCTCCTATGAAAAATACTAATCCCATAAAAATTATATTTTAATATCAGTACTCCATTAATATATAAGGGTAACGTAGCATGTGGTTTTGCAAATATGTAAAATTTTGACTGTTTTATTTTATCTAAAATTCAGAATTTATATCTACGCAATAGCAATTTCATTGAAACAAAAAGTAATTTTCAATTGCAAAATAATTAAAAGCTTCCAAATTGATGCAATAAATTTTATTGCCTTTGAAAAAGAATCTTCTGTAATACATACAAAAAAATTACGTTAAATCCACCATTATAACTCATATCATAAGATTTAAAAGATCACTTTTTATTATTATATTTACAGAAGTCAACATTATTTCATTGAAAAGTTTTTGCAAGAAAATTTATTGATATAAACCATGTATTGTTCGACATGCTAATGAAACTTTTAATATTTGTACTCCATTACTATGTTGCAAGACATTATATATAAAATTTTGACTATTTTATGTGTAATTTACAATATATGATCTAAATAAAAAAAGAATTAGTAAGAGGGGCTTAACACTTTTTATTGAACAAGAAAGTAATTTTCATGAGAAAAAAGAAGAAGTAATTTTCAATTGCACAATATTTAAAAGCCTTCGTTGAAAATTTAATTCACCAATGCAAAATCAAATTACATTATTAATATTAAATAAAGTCCCTTGCCATGAACTATTGATTGAAGCGATAAAAAACTTATTACCCTTAGCTAGATATCTCAAGTTCAAGCCTTAAGAATGAAAAATAATTTTGAAAAAACCATTCCCTATAATAGATCCGACACCAACTAATTAGGTAATTGACAAATCGGTGGATACATAAAATAAAGGTAAAACTTTTTCTTCCTTTAAAGGAGAAAATTTTTCTCCTACCAAAGACTTATTGTATAAGTGGGGCCTACAAAATAGTGGAGAGAAAAAAAAATTCAAGGTGGGACCCACTTATATAATGAGTCATTAGTAAGAGAAAATTTTCTCCCTTAAAAGAAGAAAATGTTTTCCCTAAAATAAAACCCTCATTTTATTTTTCAAATTTACTGGGAGAAATGTTTTTCTCAAGTTACATAATTTTTTTTATCTCATATCACAGACACATCGCAATCCGAGCCAGCATTTTTTTTTTCTTTTCTTTTAACCGTGGGACCCACCCAATTATGTCTCTACATGAGATAATACTATCTCATCTAGCATGAGAAAAACATTACCGTCCTTGATCACATAATCAATTTGCACTATGGACGAAGCTGTTTCGGTATTTGTTGAATTCCATACTAAAATTTTGACATTGCAATCCACATTGACAAGAGCAAATATCCTTTTTTTTAGTTTGTTAAAAATTTCCAATTTTGAGTACTGTGCAATTTTTGCTTCATACAATTTCGGAGTTGGTATCCATAACATAATCAAATTTAATTGCCTTAAAGTAACTGTACATGGCTGGCATAGCGTATTAGTGTTGGAACAAAAAATGGACGAAACACATTCAAAGAAAAATCCTTTATAATCTAAGGATTTAATATTTCTCATATAGTAGATAAAATTATCTCCTACTCCTACACGCATAAAATTATGCAGGATTCATTTCTCTCTCTCTTATCTCCACATGGCCTTACATATGTCTCACACACTTTTATGTGTGTGTAAGAGATAAAATTATCTCCTATACCATAAAAAACATTAAATCCATAAACTAATTATATTGTGCTGTTTATGAAACATTGTTTGCTAAGGGAACAATTAAATTGAGCTATTGAATTAAATCTGAGCCCTATAAATCAAGAATCAATCAGTAAAGGCCTTGCTACAACCTAGCTTTGCTCTTCCCTGAATAACTATGTAATCATGCTTAACCTGTTCATAACCTTATAATTTGGAGGATTAAAATAGTGGGTATAAAGGTAGTTGCATAAAGCAAAGATATAAACAACAAGAGGCTCCCTTTTAACTTCTGACAAAATTGTAAGCCTCCACAAGATCATACACAGGCTAAGAGATAATGGACATAATGAGAAGAGAAAAAAAGAAAGCTAAAAACGAGGTGGCTATGGCCATTGAAGATGCTCTAGAATTGTCAGGGAATGGAGTTCCCATTCCTGGAGTTATTCCACCATAGATTGGTGTTGTTGTGGTTGATGATGGCACATTCGGGTTGTTCATTGTAGGCGTTGTGATTGGTGTATTTGGTCCTCCAGCAGTACTAAACAACATTACAAGAAATAAAATAGTTAACAGAGACTCCGTAAAGTACTAAATATAATTAACTCACTGTAGTGACCACTAAAAAACATTCTCATGGTTTAGCACAAAATTCGGTTTCCAAAACTAGCATACAGTTAACCTTCTCTTGTTCCAAAAAATCACTACCGCATAACTTGAGAATTATTTTTTTATTGTTCTTCAATTATATCTCTTAATTTATTGCTCTAAATAGTGCTACCATTCAACCTACCATGTGAAGGAAAAGTTGTAAAACATTGAACTTTTATATCGTAATAACCATGTGAGAGTGACCCCTCAAAAAAATAATAAAGACTCATCATGACACGTGGGATGGCAAAATAAACCTTGCTATCAAACATGGCTGAAGCGTAAGAAATCAAAAAGTGTAAAACAGATCACAATCAATGATTCAATCACATTGCTTTGTCTAATGGAGCTTAAGCCTAATATCAAGGAAGACTTGGGTGCAGGAACTTTTTTTTAGCACATTAGTTTAAGGTGATTAAACTTGCATGGAGGCAAAAACCTCAACAGATCATTCAGAAACATAAATCAATGAATGAAAAGAACGATTAATGTTTCTTAGGTTGAAGATCTTATACACACATAAAACTATATGGAATTTATGTTTTCTTATTTTCTCTTATTTCTTCACATTATCTTACATAAATCCCACATATTTTTATATGTGTAGAAAATAAAATTATCTCCTAAAATATAAAAAAATATTAATCTCATAAAAAAACTTCATGCAAAAACAATAAGGTTTCGGGCATGCACTGATGTGTGCATCTAACAGTGCTCATATGCATATCTGCATAGGATAAGTAAATTTTGGAAATAAATTCTCTCGTGTTAAAATTTTATTGTGAAACTTTTGTATTTGATAATTGAATCTCATTAATTTAATCCATGTGAAGAGAGAGATAAATACATCCTTTACATAATGAAATTTTAATGAGAGATGCACTCCCTCAATTTTATTTTATTTTTTAGGCTCGAAAGAGAACAACTGAACAAGGTTGGTATGGCCTTATCACACAGATTATTTATTAGTGACGGAAAACAACAAATGACTGGTGACACAAACGTTAGCGTCAGTACTGCACTGTTGCATCAGATACTCTCCCCAGTTTTCTCACTGCTCAGTCACTTTATCAGAGCTCATTTTTATTTGTTCCCTAATAAAAACACAATCTTCACTTTAATTTTTTACAAAAATAAAAATAAAAATTAGTCATGATTTTTAAAAAATTTAAAATGAATCTATTTTAATTATTTTGAAGAATTACTGTAGGTCTTTTTTGAATTTCTAAGAGACCACGATTTTAAATAAATGGATCCATTTTAAATTTTTTAGAGATTTTGAAACTAATTTTTTGTTGTAAGAGACTAAAATGTGGATCATATTTTTTTTGTTAAAGACCCAAAAAAAAAACTTTATTCTTATTTTTATTTTATGTAATCTTAAAATATCTCCAGTCAACCTTCTCAGTCATCTTGTTGTCATAATACCATTCTAAAATTAATATCTCATTTTGAGTACATAAAAAATAAGTATTCTTTTATAAAAAAAAAATATATATATATGGGTGAAAATAATCGTAAAAATAAGAATGGTATAAAAATATTATTTTTAATAAATAATGTACCGAATTGTACAACACCATTGTAAAGTAAACATCACATCATGATTCAAGTTTGTCAAGAACATAAACGAACGATCAAGATGAACCTGAGTCGTTGGATGGAGTGGGCCAGGGAGACTCATCCAACGAGGTGTAGAAAAGGTAGGCAACACCCTCTGGGGGGCGTAACTCAGTGTGTCAGTCAAATTGTACAACCAAATTGTGCAAACCTAGATTTTGAATTTTTGAAGAACCAGACGCACAAAAAAAGAAAGAGGCAGGCTATGCTTTGTGTTAGAAAATAGCATAATACAATCTTATTTTTACACTTAAAACTCATACACTTAACTTATAATACGTTTTTTTAATTAAAACCAATCTGATTTTTTCTTCTCCTCTCCTTTCTTACCCAAAAATCATAATTGTAAATAAGAAAATAAAATTCTAAATGTTGATGTTCTTATCTCTCTCTCTCTCTCTCTTACTTGCACAGTTGCACACAAAACAGGGTAACACAGGCCATTTTCACCACTGTTCAGCGTCCAGGCCATGTCATCCCTATCGTATTTTATAAGCCATTGGGACCAGAGTCACCAGACAGATATAAAGGTACCAAAGAGAAAGAAAAAAATAAAATAAAAATAAAAACTTGAGAATGAGAATCCATTTACGTCAAGATCAAGGAACATAAATCCTTTCGCTTTCACCAATTACAAATGCACTTCCCCCAACTAAATCAAGCTCTTTATAGTTTATACTTAATTATACACACAACTAATATATTATTACTAACAAAGTAAAACTAATCATATATATGAAATAATGAAAAGAACAAATTCATACCTTGTTGCCGATGGGTACATACAAGATCCGTAGCCTATACACACCAAAACAAACACACACACACACACACACAAATAAAATGAGATCAAACAGATCCACGGTATATGATAGTATAAATTATATAAAGAGACACGATTAACTTAAACCGGTTTAAGAATAAAAAGCATTACTCACGTACCAGTATCATTAGATATGAGTGTATAAAATAAAATAATAATATATATATAAAAGGGAATGAAAGAATGAAGAAAAAGGGGGTCATACTGGGATCGCTTTGGGCAATGGTGGCAGTGCCAGAAAAATCACAGGAGCCAGGAGCTCTGTTTTTGCGCTGATAGAAGCTGTTGAAGGCATAGGAAGCATGAGCTTGAATGGTGTTTGGAAGAAAGCAGAGTCCATCTGGTTGAAGAGGAAAACAATCAGCTCCAGCTCCACATGCATAATCCAACGCTGTTTGTAGTGCTTGGTTGCTTGCATCACTCCTCGCCACACACCAACTTGCACTTCCTTGACCATCCACACTCATCACATTCTTAGTCCCTACTATGATGGCTGTCAATAACATTAGACAAACCAGCTTCGGTGATGCCGCCATTGAACAGGGTTATATTCAGGAGGTGGTGTGGTTGTTTTGCTTAGTTGGTAAAGGTGGAGAGAGAGAGATGGAAGTGTGTGTAGAGAGAAAAATATTATAGTGAATGTGGAGACGGAATACAAGGGCTTTCGCTTTCTTTTTGGCTTCTCTTCTTTTCTTTATCAGTTTAAATAGAAAAATAGTATTGGAGATCGTTGCTATAGTACATATTTTGAATTTAATTTACAGCATTTGTTTTGATTTATAATTTAATGTAATTTAAAGCAAATAAGATTTGTATATATATATATTTATGTCTATTTTGAATTTAGAAATTAATGAAATAAGAGTTATTATGTTTTATTAGCAGCTGTAATTTTATGAGTTAGTTACAGATTATCATCCATTCGAATTAATTTATAATTTGTAATTTTGGAACTTATTTATAGGTAACATTTCAATGAAACGAGTAAGAGTGTAGATACAAGAGTCACGAGTTCGATTCCCATAATCTTATTTTAAGGTAGAATTAAGGACAAGGCAGATCAAAATAGACTTTTACAGCAGAAAGCAGATCAAAATGACCTTATATCATATTTATGCTTCAAGTCCAAAAGACTTATGCGTGAGTAAAAATATTAGAGAAATACAAAAATATACAAAATAATTAATCAAGTCTCACCTAATTAATATTTTAAAGTTTTGAGTTAAAATAATTCTTTTTATAAATATTATATCTCAGTTTTCTAAGTTCTAACGTTAATATCACAAGTCCCACCGCTTGTCCTTTTGCTGAGAAACGAAGAACATGACGCTCATACCCAATGAGTGCAGTTCAGTTGGTAATTTGGCGTTGAGTTAGTGAGGTTGGATATGTGTTCGATTCCCGCTGAATGCATTCTTGGGGAGGGGGCTGAACCTTTAGCCATCACTGTTCCCCCGCACTCCGGATTAGTCCCATAGCCGGCTCAAAAGAGTCGAAGCTCGTGGAGATACCGGAGGGAGCCAACTCGTCTCAAAGAGATAATTAGGGTTGGGTAACTCAAAAAAAAAAAAAAACATAATGCTCAGGCCGTTCGGGAGTTTTATGAATTTTTACATAATTATTATGGATATAATATTTCTCTTATTATACGAGATAAATTTATTTCTTATATATTCTTAAAAATATGTAGCAATTATGTGAGGTCAGAGAAAAGAGAAAAAAATTAGACTTATATATTTTTATGTATGTGTAAAAGATAAAATTATTTCATACAATATAAGAGACACTAAACTCAATTAAAGGATATGAGAAATTCATATTCAGTTCCACCTATTTTCAAATTTTTATTGTATTAGTGTTGACAAAAATGGATACGAAAAAAATTCAGAAGACAAGATGAAACTTCCCTGCGTTAATCATCTTATAAGTGTTTGTTAGAGTTATCTTATGTCCTGTCAATCTACGTATAAATGACAAATTTTGAGGTTGACAATAGTTCATATTGTGTTGTGTTAGTGTACATAATAAATATCATACTCTGAGATTAGCGGATGTCGTATTATATATTAATCCGTAAAATAAACAGTATTCACGTTAAAATTTTTGACATGTTTTTGAATTTGTATCGTGTTTATTGGTGTTAAGTGTATTTGTGTTTGAGGCAAATTCTTATTGTGTTAACTTAAAATGCCACCCTAAATTATTATAAAAAAACATAATATTTGAGAATAATCGTGAAACCTCAATATATATATATATATATATATATATATATATATGAGGAAGGATCATTTGATTCCAGAGTAAGATTTAAAATTCTTACTCATCATCCTAACCCTTGATTTCCGTTCATCCAACGGTTAACATTTAATAAGTTACAACAATTAATTAATTATTAATTTTAAATAAATGCTAACCGTTGGATGAACGGAAATCAAGGGTTGGGATGAGGAGTAAAACTTTTAAATCTTACTCTGGAGTCAAATGATCCCTCCCCTATATATATATATATATATAAAGAAAGAAATACGAGATAACCATACAAGTAATGCTATAAGAGATAGAATATTGTTATTACTAATCAGTGTTATTATCAATGTCATTACTAATTTATTTTACCGTTAGATTAATTATGTTGATCTAACTGTTCTGATTTAACTTTCTAAAAACAATTTTTTTTTCTATATTTAATACTTTATATTTATTTCCACCTTTGTATGTTTATGATTCTTCATATTTAATGTTAACACATTAAATATGAGAAATTACAATCATACAAAGATAGAAATAAATATAACCATTTGATCAATATAATCAATCTAACGGTGAAATAAACTGATAATAATATTATTAGTAGAGCTGTCAAAACGGGTCAGCCCGACCCATTTAGCCTAGCCCAAGTGGGTTGGGGCCAAAAAGCCCACAATGATATAGATCCACACGGGCCAAAGCCCTATGCGTTAGGGCCAGCCCACGGTCCTTCTAAAATTTTTATGTATTTTTTACACTACTAAAAAAGATCATATTTTTTACAAAAAAATTACGTTGCAAACGACAAAAAATTTCGTCAAAAAAATATTTTTTCGTTGGAATACTTTTCATTGAAAGGTGACGAAATTTTCATCCGATGAAATTTTTTACACAAATAAATTTTTTGTCAAAATTTTCGACCGAATTTAGTTTCCGTCAAAAGTTTTGACCAAAATGATTTTTAAATATTTTCGATAAAATAAATTCCACCAAAAGTTTTGACGCAAAAAAGAATTCCGTCAAAAATTTTGACGAAATATTTTTCGTCCAAAATTTTCGATGAAAATGTGTCCCAATGAAAATTTCGACGGAAGTATTATTTTCAAAAATTTTGAGGGAAATGTTTTTGTGAAACTTTCGACGAAATTTAGATTTCGTAAAGAATTTTGACGAAATATTTTTTTCGTCAAATTTTTTTACAGAAATAATTTCCATCGATTTTGACGTCAAAAATTTGATAGAAATTTTTTTTATCAAAAAATTTGTCGAAAATATTTTTCGTCAAAAAATGTCGAGGAAAATGTGTTTTATAGAAAATTTCGATGGAAATTTTTTTTGTCAAAAAGTATGACGCAAATATTTTCCGTCAAATTTAGATTCTGTAAATAATTTTGACGAATTTTTTTCCATCAAATTTTTTTACAGAAATTTTTTTCGTCAGAACTTTGTACAAAAAAATTTCAATGCAAATGTGTTTTGTTAAAAATTTAAACGAAAATATTTTTCGTCGAAAATTTTGACAAATATGTTTTTTTGTCAAATATTTTGTCGAAATTTAGATTTCGTAAAGATTTTGACAAAAAATTTTTTCTGTCAACAATTTTTACAAAAATATTTTTCGTCACAAATTTTTACGGAAATATTTTTCGTTGAAAATTTTCACTGGAAATGTGTTTCGTTTAAAATTTTGACGAATATATTTTCCGTAAAAAAATTTGGCGAAAATTTTTTTCGGCAAAATTTTTATAGAATTGTTTTCTATCGAAAATTTTTCAACAGAAATGTTTTTCCTTGAAAAATTTGATGAAAATATTTCTGTTAAAAGTTTCAACGGAATTTAAATTCTATCAAGAATTTTGACTGTATGTCAGTGATTTTGGCCAAATCTTGTTTCGTCTCTATTATTGACGTAATATGATTTTTGTCAAAAATTTCGTCTCTATTTTTGATGAAATATTTTTCGCCGATAAATTCTGTCAGTATTGGACACTTTTCTAGTCACATTTAAAAATGATTCATATTTATGTAAATTGGGTTGAATATTGTAGCCCGCGGGCCAGCCCCAACCTAACCCTATAATGAGAGGGCTTTAAGAGGATGGGGTTAAAATGACCCTATTACAAAGATGGCTAAAATTTTATAGGGCTTATCATTGGGCTACATGGGCTGGCCCTAGGACTTGAGCTATTTTTGACAGCTCTAATTATTAGTAACACTAATTAATAACAGAAAAATATGTATGCAGTTAATGCAGATAATTATAAAACGACGTCGTTTTGGGATTGAAAAATTAAAAAATTATAATTATAAAGACTATAATAACCCTGAAATAATTAAAATTACAAAAACACCATGATTTCTGCTCAAAACGATGTCGTATTGTGCTTACTGCAGATAAGTTATCTGCCGTAACTTCAGAAAAAGCGAAACCAATCTTACGGTGTAATACCAAAATAACTTTCTTTGATTTTCATTTATCAACATTTAATTGACATGACGCCATTACGTCTACACAAGACGGTGGAAGACTGAAACGACATTAATTTTGGTAACCGGATGGAATGTATGAAACCTGTGAGAAAGTGCGAGCAAAATGAGTTTGCAAAGAGGTAGGTGCCAATTTTGCGGCAAAATGGGTGATATTGCTATGAAATTAATCACTATCCCCCCAAGCCCAATTGCACCATCCTCGCGTTTGGCCATCAAAACATTTGACATTTACTTGACTCACTTTAGCTACGACATTGCCAATCTTTCTATCAAGAGTGACTATGAAGGTCTTACTGTTGACTTAAATAGCCAATCATAAAGAATCTTCCTATCTCACATTTGGTTCCACAATAATTCTCACATCCTCTTCACTTTTAAACTTCCAATTTACTTTGTGTTCTATTTGTCACTCAAATTTTAATTTTTGTTTTTCAAGTTTCAACTATGTCATTGTTATATATTGTCGTGTTTTGGGATAGGATGTCCGTTTATGTCGGTATTTATTACATTGACATTTGCCCTTAGATTCATTGGAGTCTTTTCTTAACATCTAGGTTAAATGTAACAATCTTTGTCAAATATATTTTCCGTAGTATAAGTTATAACTTACGTTTATTATATGAGATAGGATATTATTACTATTAATAATTATTATTATCAATGTCACTATCAATTTGTTTCACCGTTAGATCGATTATGTTGATCCAACGATTACATTTATTTTCACATTTGTATGGTTATGATTCCCAATATTTAATATAGGAAATCAAAACCATACAAAGATAAAAATAAAAAT